GCCGAGCAAGGTCTTAGTATTTATCAGACGCTTCTTGGTACGTACATTCCCCTGCGCGTCAAGGATATACCGACCGTCGGGCGTTACCAGCTTCGACGGAGGGAGAGACCGCACAAAGGCAATTATTTTCAAATAGGCGGCCATGTCCTTCTGCTCGAGGGTCCCCGCCCGGAAGATATACCTATCCGTCCCTCGGCTGAAATGCTCCGCAGTCCACAGTAGATGTATCTTAGGAAGCCACGCGCGGAATCGCTGGCCATCTACCGCTCGCTCGCCCTCATCGAAGAGAGTGTCCGAGCCGTGCTGCGTAATCGGCTTGACGAGGTAGAACCGGTTTTTGAAATCTTTGACAGAATCGCTATACGCTTTGAAAATTTTTTTCGATTTCTTAAAAGAAACCCATCCGTGGCGGCCATTCACCGTCTGCCGCTGCAGATGGAAGATGCGGAAAAATAACGGCACCGTCGGCTCCACCAAGAGGTAGAAACACACCACCTCGAAAGCCCGGATGAAAGCCAAAGCATTTTGGTGCAGTTGGGACGGGGCAAGGCGCAGCCAATCAAAAAGCCACAGATGGAAGGCGGAGAACGGTAACCGGAGCCGAGCTTCTTTAAAGTAGAATTCATGCATCGGGAACATCCGCCGCCCATATCGCGAGCAGATGCGGTGATGTTCTTTTGGTCGATATACCTGCCAGTGCTGCGGCTCTCCTATAGGCGTGTCCTCGACCGTGGCGTACACGTCGGACGCGTCGGCCACAAAGCAAGAAGGGGTAGAAAGCGGCTCCTCGGCCGCCCACTCCTCGGACGGGGCAATACGCTCATCGTCATACTCCGGAATCTCAGGTTCATTATCTTCGACCATTATCCCCGGCACCAGAGCCGACATCTACACCTGAAAGCAGAGGACAACAGTGAATTCGATAGCCAGGATCAAATCCACCCTTCCACCGCAAGTCAAGTGAAAGGGAGACAAAGGCCAGGAAGCGACGAGCAAACACTCGCTCCTAGTCTACCCTCCTCGGGGGATCAAAGGCCGACCCCTCATCCCCCCTCGGGACAGCCATCGGAGAAGGTACTTATCCCCGGGGCATTCATCGGAGAAAGCCCCCCGTCCTTGGGGCGTTCATCAGAAAAGGCTCCCGTCCTCGGGACATTCATCGGAACCAGCCTACCCTCCCCGGGACACTCATCAGAAAATTTGCCAGACACGGTGGATCTCGCGTCCCTCCTCGGGGCGTTCATCACACCCCGACCACACGTTCCAATTAAACGACGAAAATAAAAAGGGAGGGAAAAGAAGAACTCACTTGTAACGGCGGCGAACGGAAGAAAAGGTCAAACGGTACGGCGGCGATCGGCGGCAAGCGGCGGACGAGCAAAGACGACAAAGCTTAGCAGACACAACGACAGAGAGAAAAGTAACAGAATGAGCGGGGGCCCCCATATTTATAACCCGGCGCGGGACTCGAAGCGACCCTAGGCTCATTAATGACATAAGGTAACCGCCCCTACGACCGCTTAACGCAAGACACGTGGCGGCAACCTGACAGTCGCGTCCCTTCACCTGCCTCCTCCCCGCTCTGCCGACGACCGGAGATCTTCGCACGAATGCCCGTTCCAGATGTGGCGACCTTAAGTCCTCGTTCTCTCCCCAGAGCTTCGACTTGGGGGTCTCCTGTTCCGGTATGGGCCCAACCTCGGCAGGCCCAATACCGCGTGCGGCCCAACAAGCGAATCGGGCATGCCGGGCACGTGCATCCCTCAAAACGAGCAGGGCAAGCCGCCGAACACAAGCAACGTCCCAACAACCTCTCATCGTCCACCACACCGGACGAGCAGAACCGTCCCCGGCTCGCCAAAACGCGTCCCTTGGTTCCTCCCCTCCGCGGGGAGAACAACGCGCTCCGGGGAACCTCCCGAGCTCCCCTCCGCGGGGAGGACAACGTGCCCGGTGCACGTTCTCCACGTGCTCCCCTCCGCGGGGACACGTCATCAACCAACTGCCCACCTCCGAAAGAGCAGGTCAAACCCACTTTCCGGAGATCTAGGAGCAGTTGGACTAGGGAGAAGACCACGTTCTGGTCTTCTCTACGCCACGTAAGCCCTACCAGTCATTAGGGTTGGGCCTGGTCATCCAGCCCATCTCAAAATGACCGTTGGCCCAGCGCTGGGGTCCCTCTATAAATACCCTCTTCCTCAAGAGGGTCAGGTAACTCTTCTTGCCCCTTTTTCTGTACTATTGCTTCCACTCTGCCCAACTTCTTACTTTGGCATCGGAGTGTCTTGCAGGTACACCCCCTCCTCCTTCTCACCCCGGTGAACAGGTAGCCGTCCAGTAGCGCGTGGCCATATCGTGATCCCCTTCTGATCAGGTCAGATCAATATATATATATATATATATATATATATATATATATATATATATATATATATATATATATATATATATATATATATATATATATATATATATATATATATATATATATATATATATATATATATATATATATATATATATATATATATAATTTTAAAAGATTGAATTTAGGGAGATTTTGAAGAATGTTATAGAAGATTTTTTATATTCATCTCTACTTTATTAGACATTGTTTTTATTTATTAAATATAAATTATATAATTAATTTAGAAATAGTGTTTATAATTCTCAAGTTAGGAGAATCAATAAAATCAACAAAGGTGAAGAAAATTCAGAATATTATTATAGTTTTATTGTAAAATATTAAATAATAAACTTATTTTTGTTATTATTTTAGTTTAGTAAAATATTAAACAATGCACTTTTGCTTAAAAGCTTTAGAGTGGACAATTAATAATTAATAATCAATCTACCTCAATGCATCAGAAGTTACATGAGTGACACACAATTAACACGCACTAAACCCTAAAGAACAACCAAGACACGACTAATCCTAATTCTTCAAATTCTACCGTTTCTTTAGTTTTAGAGACTCCTTTAAAAAAGCACCACAGTTGCATGGGCTTGGGCTGTTAAAACATAATGCAAAACAGCAGGAAAAAGCTTTCAATCATAGATATTTTCCTGCACAAAAATAGGAACAAAATACAAAGTTCCATAAAAAGGCTCAAGGATCCTTTTTACGAAAACTAACATAATCTTTCAAAACAGAAATTTCCACAATATACTCTCATAGATAACGCAAACGTATGAATTAGAAAACACTCTTAAATCACACTAAAAATATCAAAATAGACATGTCCTAACTTCTAGTATAACATGTCACAACATCATGCTTGACATGATGTCTGACTATCATGGCAGAACATCTGGTTTAACATCTTGCTAACATGTTGTTTTAGTAAAATGTAGCCAATCCAAAAGTTACAAAACTTACAGATAAATCTCAGTAGCACTGGGATGAATACTCAAGCCACTCATATGACCTTTCTCAAGAATACTCTTCTTAAGTTCAGGAACATCTGGTACACAGACTCTGTTTGAATCTTATCACACTATTCTCGTTGATTCTTAACTCACCACCTTCGCCCTAATTAATCGACACGAACCGATCAGCTAATCCTATGTTCATTTTCTGACCTTCTCTGAGTTCTTCAAGAATACGATTGGGCTACTTCAACATGACCAACCTCACACTATTATGAGTCATTTCACATACTAAACTCAAATATCGGAATTATTCAATCAACTCCAATTCTTCAACCATAAGCATCAACATATGCAACGACTTTCTACTCAAAGCATCAACTACGACATTGGATTTATAAGAATGGTAATTCTAACCAAAATTCAAGCTGTCAATTAAATGCACGATACAAAGGGTCGAAGCTGTCAATGATGGGGTCAATGGTGCCATCGATAAATTCAAGCTTCATGTTTCCTCCAAGAGCACGACGCATCCAACGACCACAAAAATGATAGTTTGTGCGGTTTAACTTTGGAGAAACATTAACAAGGGAGGATCCATCACTTGGATGAACAAAGAAGTGACTCGGTTGATCTAGCTGTAGGTAGATTGTGTACATGATGGAGACATAAAAAAAACACTCTAAGATCAAGAAGCTCAAGATACATGTTAACAAGGTGTAAACTCATCATGAAACAACATAAAAAAAAAACTGAGTAAAGAAATATATAAAAGATGAAGAAGTGAAAGTATTGTATTACATTCAGTTGAGTGTTTACAATGGACAATACAACTTATATACAATAAACAAGTGCTATATAATATTAAACATACATCAAATACATTATAGCTAAAAAATTATGTTACGTCAGTGATTAGTTAGTTATGTTACTTGCATGTAAAGTAACTATTTTGTCATTATCATCCCTTGTCATTCAACAATTTAACTGCCTTTTTCAAGGAATGTTCAGATAGTATTTTAGGCTGGTTAGAGTTAGACGTTATTCTTCCTATGGTTGGACATTCAGCCGAAAAAATATATTTCAGAATATTCAGGAGTCGGCCTCCGGTTAGCAAAATTTAAATCTTGTTTGCTACTTACTGGAGACTTTGGTATTGTAAAACTGTGTAACTATTTTAGAAGTGAGGTATCAGACGAAGAAGAGGTGGTGTGTAATTCGAATAAGCTTATCAAAAATGACTATCTTTCTACATCTAAATTGTGCTAATCAGTTATATTTGGGTTGCGCATCGCAAGCTACTGCTCTATATTAACCAAAAGTAGCTAATCATAAAATAAAATAAACAACTCATCTAAAAAAACAATCCAAATACAATGAATATCATAAAAAAACTCTTCTTTCAACACAACTCATTTAGCTACATAAAAATTCATTTATCATAACATTCATCTTTCAACACAATTCATTTATCATAACATTCCTTTCAACACAATCCATTTAGCTACATTAACATTATGAATATCATAAAAAAAACTCTTCAAAATTCACCCTCCAATTGTACAGTTGGTGATGAAGGGGTGCAACATAAACTACATAAAAAGCTTAATCTGTTACCATAACAATAACTTTCAATTAAAATCATCACAAGAATCATAAGAATCATAATAATCAAAATTACAGTCCATATCATAATAAAAAATAAGATATTCATCCAAGTCATCACGGTTATCAGGGATTGGGAATACTATAACCTTAATCTGCTCAAGGCATCTTTTCTTCAAATCTTCAGTCAAATTGAGATTGTAACATTCTTGAATATTAAGATACTCGAGTAGAGGACATTTATCAAGAATAGAAAGAAGCCCGACATTAGAGAGCCTGCTTCCTTTAATATCAAGATGACATAGTCCAGACATTGTGTCAGAAATAACAACAGCCTTATTATCATCAGCACTCGAACGTACATAACCATATGTCTTAAATATTAAAGATTTTAGAAGAGGACAAGATCGGCCAAGAACTTCAAGAGAAACCTTAGATAGCTTACAATATGAGATGTCCAACTTCTCTAACTGTGAAAATTTTCTCACAGCTTCACTAAATCCTTTGTCGGAAATACTAAGGCAATTTAGGAGGCGCATGGTTCGAAGGTTACTGCCACTGTAAATATTGAATCAAAATTCATTAAAAAAAGGATTGATAAAATAACAAAATATATACACATTAGATATATATTATATATTAAAGCATCAATAAGCAACAAAACATCTGAGATAAAAAGAATCACAAATAACAAAAATTATTAACATGAGCAAGCAAGAAAAATAATGTATAACAATAATTACTTTTCAGCTATGCATTCAAGGAGTTCATCGGTGCAAAAGCACTCAATATTAATGTCTTTTAAATGACCGCAGCTTCGTTCAACAGCATAACGACAAACCTTCAGATACTCCGAATGATTTTTGTAGAAAACACTTCTAAAATAAGTCATGTGAATGGTGTGCCACATGAGAGGATCCTTGCAAATGTCCCACCATAGAGGGCAGACAAGACACGCACTAGTAACAATTTCCTTTGTACCAAGCCTCTGAAGGATGTTACTTGTGATGTCTCTTGGAAGATCAAGCCAGTTTGGCAGCATTGTAGAATCAGCTTCTGCTTCCTTTGCAACACAAGAACAAGATGCCATTTTTATACGCAGAAAAATGGTTGCATGAATTTTTCACTTGTTATAACGTTTTATATTACACTAACAGTGGTAAACGTTTTAAAAGTGAATCATAGTTTCCAATAAACTTTGGATAAAGATAAGGGTAATGTTAACTTGTGCCCTAAGGACATATGTTAAGAACTAAATTGAGAAATGTTATCTTGGAAATTGTGTACAGACTTTAATTAAAATATAAAATTAATTTTTAAATTGTTTTTCCAATGCAAATTTACTATAAGTGGGTTCCTTAACATGTGTCCTTGGGGCACAAGTTAACATTACCCTAAAGATAAATAATGATGCATGTACCTCAATAAACACTAAGAGGGGTACTTAAACGTTTTGAACGAGAACACGGGAATAAGAATAAAAGTTGTTAAGTTTCCAATGATATAATAAATTTGATCGGTTCCAATGAAATCATAATTTACTTAAAAACACGCCTCCTCTCATCCCTCATTGCCATAAATATATCAACAAACTTTTTTAACAAAGTGCCTAAAGTATGATAAATTAATACGACTATTCAATTAGATTGTATTTTTTACATATCTAATTTAATTCAAAATTAAGAGTCTGAGTCTGTTTGATAAAACTAAGAAAATACCTTTTAACTTTTTCGACTGATTAAAAAATTATGTTTGTTAACTATCTTTTAACTTTTAATTTATAACTTTTTAATTAATTTTTAGCTTTTAATCAAAAGCTATTTAAAGAAGTTTTTGAGTTTTTAACTTTTAGCTTATAATTTTTTATTTCTATTATACCCTTATTATTTTAAATATATATATATATATATATATATATATATATATATATATATATATATATATATATATATATATATATATATATATATATATATATATATATATATATATATATACTAATAAAAAAATTATTTTAAAAGATTGAATTTAGAAAAATTTCGAAGAATGTTATAAAAGATTTTTTCTATTTTACTCTACTTTATTAGACATTATTTTTATTTATTAAATAAAAATTATATAATTAATTTAGAAATAGTGTTTATAATTTTCAAATTATAAGAATCAATGAAATCAACAAAGGTGAAGAAAATTTTGAATATTATTACAGTTTTATTGTAAAATATTAGACAATAAACTTATTTTTATTATTATTTTAGATTGATATATTAAATTCAAAATTACAATTTGATTGTTTCACGTATTTTATTAAATTTCATTATAAAATAAGAAAAAAAATTATATTCTACGAAATAATGAGTTAACCAGACCAAGAATTATAGTTATTAGAATTACTTTTACTTTTATGTCATCATAAATGACTTAAAAGTAAATAGCAAAGCTCATAAAACTTATATACAAATTTATATATTTTGATGATATCTTCAATTTTTTATATATATTAATATTAAAATTATTTTGCACTTTGTTATTAATATATTTATTTTTATCGAAACAAATTTAATTTAATAATATAATATAATAAGATAATGAAATCACAAATTTCTTAATTAAAAATGTCTATTTAGGTCATTTTCTAATTATCAGCTAGTATAACAACTAATTTACCAAACACTCTAATTAACTTATCAGCTATCAGTCATTAACTATAAGCTATAAACTATTAGTTAACAGCTTCCACCTATCAACTAACAGCTATCAGCTATAACCTAGTTTTACCAAATAGAACTTCTGTTTGGTAAGACAAAAAAAAAAGCTTTTAGTTTTTCAGCTCATTTTGATTAAAAAACTTTGTTTGATAACTGCTTTTTAACTTTTAGCTTATAGCTTTTTAACTAGCTTTTAACTTCTTTTTTTTCAAAAACAATTTAAAGTAGCTTTTGAGCTTATAGCTATTAACTTATGACTTTTTATTTCAATTATACCCTTATTATTATATATATATATATATATATATATATATATATATATATATATATATATATATATATATATATATATATATATATATATATATATATATATATATATATATATATATATATATATATATATATATATATATATATATATATATATATATATATATATATATATATATATATATATATATATATATATAATATTTACCATTAAAAAATTTATTTTAAAAGATTGAATTTAGGGAGATTTTGAAGAATGTTATAGAAGATTTTTTATATTCTTCTCTACTTTATTAGACATTATTTTTATTTATTAAATATAAACTATAGAATTAATTTAGAAATAGTGTTTATAATTCTCAAGTTAGGAGAATCAATGAAATCAACGAAGGTGAAGAAAACTTAGAATATTATTATGGTTTTATTGTAAAATATTATACAATAAACTTATTTTTGTTATTATTTTAGTTTAGTAAAATATTAAACAATGCACTTTTGCTTAAAAGCTTTAGAGTGGACAATTAACAATTAATAATCAGTTTACCTCAATGGATCAGAAGTTACATGATTGACACACAATTAACACGCACTAAACCCTAAAGAACAACCAAAACACGACCAATCCTAATTCTCTAAATTCTACAGTTTCTTTGGGTTTAGAGACTTCTTTAAATAAGCACCACAGTTGCATGGGCTTGGGCTCTTAAAACAAAATGCAAAACACCATGAATAAAGCTTTCAATCATAGATACTTTCCTGCACGAAAATAGGAACAAAATACAAAGTTCCATAAAAAGGCTTGAGGATCCTTTTTACGAAAACTAACATAATCTTTCAAAACATAAATTCCCACAATATACTCCCATAGATAACACAAACGTATGAATTAGAAAACACTCTCAAATCACACTAAAAATACCAAAATAGACATGCCCTAACTTTCTGGTATAACATGTTCTGGCACATGTCACAACATCATGTTGGACATGATGTCTAACTATCATAGCAGAACATTTGGTGTGACATCTTACTAACATGTTGTTTTAGTAAAATGTAGCCAATCCAAAAGTCATAGAACTTACAGATACATCTTAGTAGCACCGGGATGAATACTCAAGTCACTTATATGACCTTTCTTAGAAATACTCTTCTTAAGTTCAGGAACATCTGGTACACAGACTCTATCTGAATCATATCACACCATTCTCGTTGATTCTTAACTCACCACCTTGGCCCTGATTAATCGACACGAACCAGTCAACTAATCCTATGTTCATTTTCTGACCTTCTCTGAGTTCTTCAAGAATACCAGTGGACCGCTTCAACATGCCAAACCTCACACTATTATGAGTCATTTCACATACTAAACTCAAATATCGGAATTATTCAATCAACTTCAACTCTCGAACCATAAGCATCAACATATGCAACGACTTCCTACTCAAAGCACCAGCTACGACATTTGATTTATAAGGATGATAATTCTAACCAAAATCATAGTCCTCTAAAAATTCGAGCCACCTCCTCTACCTTATATTCAACTCTTTTTGATCTAATGAGTACTTCAAACGCTTGTAATCACTGAACACTTCAACTATAGAAGCAAACATATAATGCCTTCAAATATTTAGTACAAACAAAACGACAACCAATTTTGTATCATGTGTAGGATAATTCCTCTCATGAACCTTTAACTATCTAGAAGCGTAAGCCATAACTTGTCTACTTTGCATAAGCACACCACCTTGTCTACTTTGTAACACCCCGATTCTGATTTCCCATTTTTGTTGAGTCTTTTTATTTAATTGGGTGATTATTATTTTAATTGTGGAATTTATGTGTTAATATGTTATGTTTGCATATTATGCTATTTTACCGATTTTGAGAGTTTTCGGGGAAAATAGATTGGAGGGTATTTTAGACATTTAGTATTTAATGTTAAGTTGGATATTTGGTGAGAAAATAGATTAATAGATGTTTTGAGAGAAATAGAATAGAAAGGAATATAAGTGGAAAGAGGAGAGAAAAGAGATAGAAATAGAAAGACGAAAAAAAGAAGAGAAAGAAAGAAGAGAGAAGAGGAGAAAGAGGGGAAAAACTTGGATTCATCAAGAACAACATCTAGGCTTCGATTTAATCGGGTAAGGGTGTGAAATGTTATTATCTTATCAATGTTTATGATTATGTATGTGTTTGTTGAATTAGTTTGGATTGTTGGAGAGTTTTTGCTCATTTTCCATTTTAGGGAAGAAACGAGTTTAATCGGTAGAATCGATGTTTTAACGGATAAAATCTGGAAGAAATGGTGTAGATTAGTCGAGAAATGTTAGGCTAAGAGGGGGGTGAATTAGGATTTTAGGGACTTTTTCCGGTTTTTCGGTATTCTTGAAATTTTAGTAGTTAGGTTCTTGGTGATGAATGCAGTAGAAAGTAAAAGGAAAGTGGACACCAAGATTTATAGTGGTTCCCCTCACAATCCGAGAGTACTCCACTCCCCTTTCAACACGAAAGAGAGTTTTCACTATTGTTTAATAAAGTACAACCTATCACACCATCAACCGGTGAGGCCTACTATCAAACAATAAAAATCAACAAGTGTACAAGAACAATCCTCTTGTAAACACTCACCCTTGTGTCCAACAATCCTGGATCACAAGTCAAAATACAAGTAATCTGAATACTTTGATTTGAGAGTAATAATGGTAATATCAATGCTGAGATTGATCTTCTCCTTCTGATCAAAATTCACTCTTTTAATTTCAACACAAGTGTTCAATGCTATGCATATGAAAAGATATGATCAATATGAACACTTTTTTAAAAGATTTGAAAAGTATTTGAAAGTGGTGAATTTGATTCAAAGAATGTTTTGAAATTGATTATTGGAGGTTGTTTTTCAATTTGAAAAACTCAGAATTTATATGTGTAAACACACCTTTTCCAACAGGTATATTTGAGTATAATTCAAAATATGAACTGGTATAATATTCAAACCATTTTTGAATTTGAAACAAAGCCATTTTTCAAAATACGTTCAGTGTTAATCGGTTAACCTATATGGTTAATCGGTTAACACTGGAACGTTATACCAGAATATTCAAATTTTGAA